CAACTTCAGCCGCCGCCACAACCTGAGCCGCGACGAGCTGCGCGGCTTCCTCCGCCACTACGAGGAGGCCACGGAGGCCGGCATCCGCGTGGACCACACCCGCCCGCGCTGGGACTTCACCGGCGCCTTCTACTTCGTGGGCACCGTGGTGTCCACTATCGGTACGTGAGCCGCGCGGGAGGGCGGAGGCGCAGGGGGATACTCGCTGGCATCGTTCTGGCGGGGCGCTTGGAAGGGGCGGGGGGCGACCAGCGCTTCTCCACCCCCGGTTCAGCCGCCGCTCTGCCGGCCGCACAGGTGTGAGCTGTTACCTGACCCACAGGTGGTATCGCTTCCCGGCTTCTCTAAACGTGGTCCAGCTGCATTCGCATCACCTGGGAGCCTGTTCTAAGTGCAGAGTCTCGGCCCCTCCTCTGCCCCCCAGAGTCAGAATCCGCAATTCACGAAGGACCCAGGGGACTCGAATGATCCTTAAATTGGAGATGCTCAGTCTAGTTAAGAAGACATTGCTCGAGCTCGTGGAACTTTAGGGAGAAAGCGTACAAATTGGGGCTGGGGATCTATAAACATGTATTGAGTTAGTACCACTCACAAGGCGGGGGATGGAGCACACATTTAAAAATCTGTCCTTACCCTGGCGGGTTTGGCTCAGTGGGTAGAGCGCAAGCCAAAGGGTCCCAGGTTCGATTCCAGTCAAGGGCACGTACCTTGGTTACAGATTCCCCGGCCCTGGTCCGGTTGTGAGCAGGAGGCAACCAGTCGATGTGTCTCTCTCACATCGATGTTTCTTTCTCTCCCTCTCCCTTCCACTGTCTCTAAAAATCAATGGAAAAATATCCTCCGCTGAGGATTAACAAAAAAGAAAAGGAGAGTCCATCCTTGACTTCAAGTTCACAGAGAAAGTCAGATTGAATACCAGACGGAAGGTTAGGCAACATGCTAATGAGAATGGAAACTGTGCCCTACCCTGAAAAATTGGGGGGGGAAGTGACCTTTGGGCCAACCCCGTGGTGTTAGGTACGGTTTGGGTTTTGCATCCTGAAGGAGGAAAGAACTGCATTCAAGGACCCCATGGTCTATAGCAGCGGTCGCCAACCTTTCATGCTTCACAGACCACCAGTGGTCCAGGGACCACCTGTTGGTGACCGCTGGTCTATAGAACAGGCTACAGAGGCCTCCCGGCTAACGGGATGGAGGTGTCTCTTTGCTGTTAGACTAAGGAGCTAGAACTTATCTAGAGGCAGTTGGGAGCCACTGAAAGTTTTTGAGCAAGAGTGTGGCATGGCTCTGGTCAGGTAGGCCTTTCTTCCCCGCAAAAGGAACAAGTTGGGTGTCTGCACCACATTTCTAAAGATAGTTCATCCTTGAAACATAATCGAGTGATATGGGTTGGGGAAGATGCTGTGGAAATTTTGAAGAAAGAAAAGAGCTGGAGCAGAGGAGGGGGGTTTGAAAGGCTACGCTGAAAGGGAGTGGCTCCCATGCCAGGCACTGGGAATAGCAACGAGGCTCACGGCGGCATCGCGGGGGACAGGCGCTCTGCAGCTATGGCCCCGGTGCCAGCAAAAGAGCTTGTCAGCGAGGCGGGCAACAAGGCGACTTCCCTGAAGCTCCCACACGTGGCTGCCTTAGGTAGACATTCTGCCAGGAGGAGGAGCACAAGTCTCATGGAGATCAGCCTCAGGCCTGATTGGTCAGGAGAGAGGGCCCAAGGTCAGGCTAGAAGCCCAGGGCTTCCGTGGGTGAGTAGGAGGCAAGGCGGAGAGGACAGGGCGATTAGGGACGGGCTGCACAGGCTGCATCTGAAGTGCTTTGTCCTAAACTGCCTGGCTCATAGCCCTACCCTACCCCCACATCCCATCCCAGGTGGTCCTGCCCATCAGCAGACCAGTAAGATACCACAATATCCGGGGGTCTGGCAAGAAAAGCTGTCAGCATTCTCCATGATGACCAGATCACGGGCCCTGAGGCGGTAGGGAGGAGTAAGACCCTTCCAGGTCCTCTCCCCCAGCCCACGTTCCTCGCAGAATTCTCTTAGCAGAATTCCCTAAGTCCCTCATTGTGTCACCTCCCGCATCTCAGAAGACAGCCCCAGGATTTTTATGTAGGGAGGACGCGGGGAGCAAACCGCTTGGTGAGTGTGGCTGTGGAATTCCCCCTGAATCTGCTGTGTTTACATAGCAAGTACTGGGTTTTTATTTCGCTTGAATAGTTATGTGATGTCTTTTAATGGGAGACTAGGGGCTACATCCTCCCCACCCACCCACACACACAGCACACGCCCCCCACGCCCCCTGGTACTCCCCTTGGACACGGAGCGAGGAAGGAGCAGAGTGTGTTGATAGGCTGGTGAACAGCAGTGCCTTAGGAACTGAGAATGTCTTGGATGGCTGGGCGTGTAAGAGGCTCAGTTATAATAATAGAGCCTCGTGGAACAGAAGGAAACCAGACTGAGGTTCCAGAGTCGGAGCTGTTGGCCCTGCCTCTGCAGCTTGGGCAGGTGTTGGGAGCCCCATCCTCCCCGGGCTGTCTGCCAGTGCTCACCGTGTAGCTGTGCAGTAACTATCAGTCCTGTCTCCTTCCACCCCTCCCCCTAAGCCGGTCCCTCATGTAGGGTTCTTGTGAGGGGCAGTGAGCTCATATAATGAATGTTCTTTAAAAAGTACAAAGCACTATATACGTATGGGCTTATTTTTATATTTCCAACCTTTCCTTTTAAACTGTCTCATGAATTGCTGCTGCAATAACGCACTTGCTACCCTTTGTTGGGGTACATATTAGGCACATACTGTGATTATTGTATGAATATGGGATGCAGCTAATTCCTGCATTACAATCACACGTAACTTCAATCAACACAGCTCCACGAGGCAGGTACGATTATTTCCATTTCATAGACAAGGAAACTAAAGCTTTGTGTTCTTTGTAAAATAAAGTATAAAGAAAAGAAAGTTACAGCATCTGTAACCGCTGTTAACATTTTGATATATTCCTTTGTGTTCTTCCTGCCCTTTGCATACACATATGTGCATATGTAGTTTTAAAAATTGGGGTCATATTCTGTGAACCATTTATCTTAGATTTTAATCATAACATTACATGGTGGCGTTTGCCTTTTAAAAATCAGCTCCACTGTCCTTTATTCTGTATAGATTTTGAGATAACACAACAAGAGAGCCTACATTAAACTAATCATAAAACGTAAATAAAACCTCAGAATCAGGGGAAAGAAGAACAAAAACATGGAAAGCAAACAGGTCCTGGAAGCTGCTAGGAAGAGCTTTGTGTTAGTTTAGTTTCCTCAGAAGCAGAGCCCGAAGCCAAGAATCTGAGTTCAAGCAGTTGTTTGGCAGGTGCCAGGGGTACAGGCAGGTGGAGGAGGACATAAGTCAATATAGGGATGTATTAGGCAGGGACCACAGTGAGCAGCTGGTACAGGCAGACCTCCGAGGCAGTACGGGTTCGGTTCCAGACCACCATAATCAAGCAGGTATTGCAGTAAAGTGAGTTGTAACCTTGGCAGGTGCCAGAGGGTCTTGCCTTCCATTTGTAAAAAATGAAGCACAATAAAGTGAAGCACAGTAACACTAGGTGTACCTGCACTTAATCCCATGTGGAAGCTGGGAAACAGTGTAAAACCCATGACCCAGAAAGATCCCAGGCTGCACGGGAGCTGGGGGGGTGGGGCGTTTATACACCCTCGCCTGTCAGTAATTGGGTAGAAGGTGCTTGGAGGGCAGGGAAGCACAAGCCTATGATTCCCAGGTGCTTCTGGCCTGGTTTCGCATGGACACCCCAAGGGTAGCTCAGAGACTGGCCATTGGAAGTCAGGCCGATGTGACTAGAAATGATAAAGGGTGTCTCCAAGGGGTGTGGGCGTGGGACCCACAATGACTATTCAAGCCTCAGATTGGGCTGCAAGCTCCATACCTGAGTCATACCTGGAATTCTTATCCTCAGAGAAAAGGTTCCCTCGTGGGGTTTACGTAGAAGCCATTGCATAGGACAGTGGGCGATGTTCACAACAGCACTTTCCTGGAAAGTGCAGGTGAGGATTTCATGTAACTATTGTCTGGTTGAGACCTTTGATTTGAAAGTCAGAGAAGAGTGAAAAACACTTTGGCAGTTTCTCCAAAGGTTAAACATAGAGTTACCATATGACTCAGCTATTCCATTCCTGGGGGACGTATTTGAAAGAATTGAAAGCAGAGACTCAAACAGATATTTGTATAGCTATGTTCAGTGCAGCATTATTTACAACTAGAGGCCTGGTGCACAAAATTCATGCACTTGGTGGGGGGAGGGGAGACATCCCTCAGCCCTGCCTGTGCCCTCTTGCAGTCTGGGAGCCCTTGGGGATGTCCGACTGATGGCTTAGGCAGGGAGCGGGCTTAAGCCATTAGTCGGACATCCTTAGCGCTGCCACAGAGGTGGGAGAGGCTCCCGCCACCGCCACTGCACTCAGCAACCATGAGCCCGACTTCTGGCTGAGCAGCGCTCCCCCTATGGGAGTGCACTGACCACCAGGGGGTAACTCCTGTGTTGAGTGTCTGCCCCCTGGTGGTCAGTGCACGTTATAGTGACCGGTCATTCCGCTGTCAGGCCGAAACCACCTCTCCAACATCCTCCAAGGGGTCCTGGATTGTGAGAGGGCACAGGCCAGGCCGAGGGACCCCACCGGTGCACACTTAGGGCCAGGGAGGGATGCGGGCGGTTGGCCAGCTAGGGAGGAATTGTGGGAGGGCTCCAGGGCATGTCCGGCCTGTCTCACTCAGTCCCAATTGGCCAGACCCCAGCAGCAAGCTAACCTACTAGTCAGAGCGTCTGCCCCCGGTGGTCAGTGTACATCATAGTGACTGGTCAACTGGTCAACTCTGCCCCCTGGCAGTCAGTGCACATCATAGCGAGTGGTTGAGTGGCCTTCACATTTCATTAGCATACTACACTTTGATTGTTGACTGGATAACCGGACACTTAGCATATTAGGCTTTTATTACATAGGAGAGCCAAAAGGTGGAAACAACCCAAGTGTTTATCAACAAGTGAATAGATTAACAAAATGCAGTACATAGATACAATGGAATATTATTCAACTATAAAAAGGTATGAAATTTGATGTATGCTACAACATGGATGATAAACCTTGAAAACATTATACTTA